TTGATTTTATGATTATCAATAAAATCATTAAAATCATCTATATCTGTCAACACATCCTAAAACTCTTCATAAAAAATCTTTCAAAAATAAAATATAATTTTCTGAAACGTTATTTGAGTAAAATTACCTGAATTAAAGTTTAGTTAATCTGAATTGGAATAACTATTGCTTTAATCGAAAATATCACAGAAAGGATTTTTATAAGTCTGGTGGGTGTTTTAATGAGTGTGTTTTGACACACTTATTGACAACCTGAAGTTTGGAAAATTTATATAAGGAGGTAACTGTAATAAAATCATATGATGAATACAACGTAAATATTTTTTATATAATTCTTTTAACTATCCAGTAATCCTTAAAATTTTAACAATTTTAAGTATTCTGATATTTTAGTGAATTTTAAATACTTTGGTGTTATAGTCTTACTTACAAAGACGTTTGTTGACAAAATGTTAGAAAGTTACCAATAAATTTTAAATTTAATATTGCTACCGCTTTTATTTTCTGATAATGTCATCTATGGGCGTCCGTATTTACAAAAATCGCAAAAGAAAAAAATTCAAAATTGTTTTTAAAATACTGGGGTCGCTGAATTGTAGTAAGCTTTTCCAAGGATGATTAGTAAATACAGTCTTAATTTAATAACAATATCACTTGAGACTATTTACATTATTCGGACTATTGTCCTCATCTTTGTCACCATATTTCTTACAACGTTTCGGCTGTTGTACGCTCCGACCTTCTCCAGGTGGTTGGAATGTCGAAGTGAACCCTTTATTTCGTTCAGTGGGGTAGAATGTTCTAGTTCCTCGTGCCATGTTTTTAATGGATGTCAGTTATCAATTATCCCCTGTTAATTCCCCTCTCCAAGTTCTCTACTGACTTAACCGGGTATTGAACTCACACTCTTTGTGTCTTGTCACTGGATCTAACCAACGTCTTTATCCTTGAGGACTGACATCCTATAAACATGGCACATGGAACTAGAACAGTCTACCCCACTGAGAGAAATAAAGGGTTGAGTTCGACATTCCAACCACCTGAAGAAGGCCAGAGCCAACAACGGCCGAAACGTTGTAATAAATATGGCAACGAAGATGAGGACAGTAGTCTGAATACTGTAAATAGTGTACATAACACCTCATCTCAGAAATATAAATAAATATCACTTGACTGCTACAAATTCATACAGAATCTTAAAAGATTTAATAGCTTATAAATTATTCAAATTATTTTTTTTTAAATGAGCAATTCTCGTAAAATTTAATTATTCATCGAAAAAATGTTTTTTTCGTAAGACAATAGTGTCCATAATAAACATTATATTATACAAGCAATTAATACCCTTTTTTAATTAAATAATGTTTAGTTTTATGGCATCTTTATTTTACGATTCAGAGCAGAGTTTCAGAAAATGGGGATCCTGTATTACCCCCCCCACTCCAAAAAAAATTGTGGATTTCAATTCTCTTTGTTCTTATAACTAAAATAAACACTATGCGCTACTAAAGAATATCTATCGAAATTTCATAAGATTAAATAAGTGGGGGTAACAGATGTAAAATTAAATAAGTGGGGGTAACAGATGTAAAATTAAATAAGTGGGGTTAACAGATGCAAAATTAAATAAGTGGGGGTGACAGATGTAAAATTAAATGTGGGGATAAGAGATGCAAAATTAAATAACTGGGGGTGACATATGTAAAATTAAATAAGTGGGGGTAACAGATGTAAAATTAAATTTGGGGTGACATATGTAAAATTAAATAAGTGGGGGTGACAGATGTAAAATTAAATAAGTGGGGGTGACAGATGTAAAATTAAATGTGGGGGTAAGAGATGCAAAATTAAATAAGTGGGGGTAACAGATGTAAAATTAAATGTGAGGTGACAGATGTAAAATTAAATAAGTGAGGGTAACAGATGTAAAATTAAATAAGAGGGGTGACAGATGTAAAATTAAATAAGTGGGGGTGACAGATGTAAAATTAAATGTGGGGGTAAGAGATGCAAAATTAAATAACTGGGGGTGACATATGTAAAATTAAATAAGTGGGGGTAACAGATGTAAAATTAAATGTGGGGTAACAGATGTAAAATTAAATGTGTGGTGACATATGCAAAATTAAATAAGTGGGGGTAACAGATGTAAAATTAAATAAGTGGGGGTAACAGATGTAAAATTAAATGTGTGGTGACATATGTAAAATTAAATAAGTGGGGGTAACAGATGTAAAATTAAATAAGTGGGGGTGACATACGTAAAATTAAATGTGGGGGTAAGAAATGCAAAATTAAATAAGTGGGGGTAACATATGTAAAATTAAACAAATGGGGTAATAGATATAAAAATAGACATTTTTACCAAAATTTTCTTTAAAAAAAACAAATATTTCAAAAAATAATTTCTTAATAAGTCCTAAAAATTACATTAAAATACGACTGTTGTCTGATTTTTGCAAGAATTTTCAAATCAGTACATTTTTCATTCCAAAATGACGCTAAAATTTCCCGTGGTGCCGGCCGCTTTCCAGGACATTCACCAATAAACGACATCATCAGAAGAAGAATCTGGATGCAGCTGGTTTCCCTTCCTAAATCAAAACTGTAGGCCTCGACCGTTGTGATGGAAATGGGATTACTATTTTCCCTTTTAAAGGTGTGGGGGAGGAAGTCGATGATTTGGGATGCGGCCTGTGTCGATACATTTTTGACCGGTAATTTGATCAGGTCCGCGGTTGAGCCAAGATCTGTCGCACGGGATAAAAAAAATGGTTAAATATTCTTCTCTTGCGGATAGATTTATTTTTACTTCATTGTCAGTGGAGACTTCTGGGGGTTATTGGCCCTCATTCGATGTCGTTCCTTCCGAGGATTGGCGGGATTGCGTCTCGATCAAGGAGTGGCCCTTGCAGCGTGTCTCACTGGCGATAGTACGAGGTAATGCTTTCGTCATCATTGCGGCTGGTAGAGGATATTAAAAAAAAAAAAAAAAAAAAAAAATAAAGACGACTTCCTGTATAAATGTATGGTCCCACGTTGACGTCACAAAAGAAAAAACAATATTTATACCAAAATTTTGAAGGTGTGTTGTGTCGGAAACCTACCACCCCTCTGGAAGATGAACTTGTCTGTGAACAAAGACTTTAAATAGTGGCATGTCAGTTGACATGGGAGAGAGATAGACAGAGAAGTTTTTAGCTGAGCTAGTTATTGACTACTCAAGCGATTTCTGTACCTTTTTACCAACCTATTAAAACCCTTTTTATTGTTACGTGTTATTTGGCGTTTGTCTCTACTAACCCCAAATCAACATCATAACAAGGTTCCAGAAAGGATTTAAAAAATATTTTTTGCATCAAAAATCCTTTGGTCTTTCCTCTTAATATTAATACAAATTTTGACTATAAAACTTACGTTTTGATTATTTTTTTCATCATGTATGCTTATTTTTAGCTACTATAACCATACACGAATTTATAAAAAGATCTTTATACTAACATGTAATAATTCCAGGGTGGGGTAATTTATTATTTAACGTCAATGAAAAACTGCCTCCTCAATTGTTGTGTAGGAACCTACCACTCCTCTTGGAGATGAACTCGTCTAAAAAGAAGGACGTTAACTAGTGGCATGTCAAAAGACAGTGTCGGAGAAGTTCTGGGCTGAGTTAGTTATAGACTACTCAGGCGATATCTGTACCAACTTACCAACCGAATAAACCCCATTTTATTGTTAAATGTTATTTGGCGTTTGTCTTTATTAACCCCAAATTAACATCATAACATCGATATAAATGCCGCAACTTCTACGGTATTTATAAACTCATGATAATATTAGATTTTATAGAACGTAGAATCTAATAAATACACGTGGTTATTAGCGAGTTTGGGAGATACCAAAATCAAGCAAGTACAACAATGTAAAAATCTGGGGTAGTGTTTTAACATAGGGCGGAAACTGATCCAGACAACAGAGATTACTATTAAAGAAATGAATCTCTCAGCAGGGATCGAACTTGCATTAAATTTATCTTAGTCTGGAGGGTGTCATTTAACCATTCAACCACGGAAGGTATCTACAGAAAAGCAAGCCTCAGTTACCCTTTTTATGAAATGTACATCTTTCGTTGCTTTGGGATCTTTCGATATCTATATATATATTACATATATTTCCGTATCCGAAACGTAAATAAATAATGAATTTTAATCCGTTGTTATTTTTATTACTAGAAACGTTGTTTTTTGTGCAGAAGTGTTCTAGCAGACATACATCTTTATTTTTTTTATTTTTCAAACAGCTTAGGCGTAAAAAGTCTGATTAAAAGACGGTTGAGTAATGGATTCCGGCTCGAATTCCAGTCGAGTTCATTACATCTATTTACGTGCCCTTGGGAAAAGGTCGGAATCCAAATCTTCTCTCCTCCACCTGCCAGCTATGGGTAAATAGTAAGACAGACTGCGTTCTATAGCCTTAGGTGGCAACCAGTGCACAAGAAGAAAAACTCAGAATTCAAAAATTGTAGCCCTGGCGAAGCATATACTTTGCAGCTAAGAATCGTTTTCATTGACCCGATGATCCCGACTAGGGGTCGTCTATTCGGTATTAATTACTTAGTAATTTTTGTCTGAATTTCTGGGGTGAAGAGTTACCATTATTTATATTCTAACTATAGTCTTCTTATTCGTTGTTTTTTTTTTTTTTATCACAGCGTTTCAACCGTTATGCCCTCCGATCATCCTCAGGTGTCTATTGATATGAATATCCTACAGGGACAATGGTCTAGTGGGTAACGTTGGTTTGTGAATTTGGTGCCATAGTAATTGAGGGTTCAATCCCTGACTCGGTGAACACGGGGAGAATAATAACTGAGCACTACCAAACAAAAAAAAAACGAAGAAAGAACTAGACGAGATATACGTAGATATGGACAATGGAATGAGTAGATTAAAGAAAGTGTTCAGTCCGGAATTCATAAAAGGTTAAACAGATCGATACGCTTACGGTCAAATCACGCTGAAAACACCGGTTCTCGTTCGATCACCGAAGTTAAGCATCGTAGAGCCAGGTCAGTACTTAGATGGGGGACCGCTTGGTACTGTAAGCACCTGGTACTGTAAGCACCCAAAGTCCAACCCTTACCTCACAGTCGGTGGGGGGTGTAAACGGTAGTGTCAGAGCTATGCTGTCCGGAACTTCGTTCCTGGTAGGGCCACCCAAGGCGGACAGGTCTGACACACACGCCGGCTAACAAGGGCTCTGGTGAAAATCCAAGGAGAGTCTGCATCGGCAACCGGCGGCTTCTGGTCGTTCCTGTCTCTGCGTCTGTGGGAATCCCGCGTCAAGCAAGAACGTTATCCGAGTAGGCCTGGGTACCCTACTTCTGTAATTTATCCCAAGAATCTTCTTCTCACAACAGGAAGAAGCCGGCTCAATCCGCCCAGGGTGAATGCCGCATCAGGACAGGACAGGACAGATCGATACACACGTGAGAAAGGCCGGAGATGTTGTGATAAAAAAACAAAAAAACAAAAAAAACAAAGATGAGCACAATTGTCTGAATATAAATAATGCAAATAATTACTTAGTGTTTCTGTTTCGTCTACGAAAATATTTATTATTCGAAACAATAAGCTCGAGATCTTATTTTCATAAAGAAACAAACGCTGCCTGCCGTAGTGCAGTAGATAACAAGAGTGTGTCACCAACCACTTTGCTATTATATTGAGTACTCTGCGCCGTGTTACTGTGACAGTGAGATCAGCATATTTGGTAACTATCAGTTCAGTTATGTACCATGCGTGATACACGCTTAGGCGATCATATATTTTTCGATACATGACTGACGAGGCAGATTTTTTTTTCCCACAGTAGGTTGCCATTTCTTTCTGCGGTAGACCCGTAGCAGAAGGTACGCATTGCCGACTAAGTGAGAAATCGTATTTTTTTTCTACTTCCCGGCCCAACAACTTCAAATGCCTTGAAAAGCATTTGTCGCTATTGTTTTATCTATGACAGTAGTCACGGCCCTAATTTTTGGTCATTAAGACGAATCTGAGCGAGCACCGGTGTATTCGCATCCATCCAACTTTGGATGTCATCACAGCTGGTAGAGTGACGTGAAGAATCGCATTACCACATGTCTTAGCTAGTTGAGCTTTACAATGAGTGGGCAAAAATCCAGAGCAGCAGATGCGAGAGACGAGTCAATGATTACAGAAGACGTTTGGTTGAAGTAATCCCTGCAAGAGAAGACGCCACAAAGTACTAAATCAAGGGTCGGCAACCTACGGGCCGGATCCGGCCCGTGAAGGCATTTTGACCGGCCCGCAAGCCTGATTACTAATGACTCTATTTTTAACATGAGAGACGAGGCTTTCGAATTAGACTATCTGCCAGTTATCTTTCATGAATTTTATTTTACCAAGTTTCGTTGACTACGTTTAATGTCAAATAATGGATACATATTTGTTATGACCCTTGACTACATTAAAAGATAACAGAAGCGAAAGGAACGATAAAGTGAAAGAGGCCAGGGAGGGACTGTGACATGCGAGGTAGCAGAAATCTAAAGACAGTTAAAAATACGCGCATTATACATACATGCCTCATGAATGTGTGGATGATACCGCATGTGTCGTACGTAAGTGTATATGTTTGCAACTATTTGTACTCGTATGTATGGGTATATGTGCTTTGTTTTTGTTTGATGTGTGTATGGTTCGTTTGTGGAACAATTTTCAATAACAGTTTCAAACCTACACGTCATAATTTCATCCATTTCACTTTGGTTGATTTTTTCCACTTTGAAGTATTTTGACGTTTCTTGAGGAAAAATGATTTTTGTTAGGTGTTTTTTTTTTAATTTTAGATTTTCTTTTGTTTTTCTGATTTCTCAATGTTTATTTTCATTATGGTTTTAAATATTTAGGTTGACAGGGGTCTGCATATTTAATTTTCCTTAATTTTTCATTAATGGCCTTCGTCCGGCCCGCGACCCGTCATTATAATACGATCCGGCCCGTGGGGTCAAATGAGTTGCCGACCCCTGTACTAAATAAAAGGGTTCAAATACTTTAGCACCACAACTCAATTCGGATCGTCAAAATTCTGATTAGTAAATTGGGGTTTGCCATTTTGTGCTAACCTACTCATTCTGTAACACATTTTAAATATAACATATAACATGCCAATAGCCAAAAGAAAAGAATATATAAAGGTAGTGATTACGAGTATCGGGCGAAAAGTAATGCGAGGGATGCCTTCTCTTTTCCTACCCATAATCCTATTTCAAAATGGTTGCACTTCTGGGCACATTTTGCATGCAAAGCATTGTTTTAGAATTTCTTCTTTTATGGTTGAACTGCTTCAAACATTCACAGAAGGTTAGTGAGTGTTTATGAAGACGCTACACTTTAACTAAGCACAATAATGAGAGTTAATAATGATCCTAAAGAGAAAGAAAAAACTCATTAATGACAGACTCCGCAGTGGCACACAAGCTGTTGCCGTGAAAGCGGATAGGATGAAACAGGTTATTGCTCCCCTTAAAATTGAAAAAAGAATTACTATTGTAAAACTCTTTGAAAACCTTCAGCAAATCTATAGTAGCGCCCGCGAGTTGAATAAAACCTCTTGGCTGATCAGCGCAAAGAACCCCGAGTAACTCTGTGAGAGAACAGAGGATACTTACTAGGAGGGAGCTTCTCGGTCTGCACAACGTGGATAGAACCGATGAAGGAGATACTCAGAGAATATTTTCCAATGATGATGTGAAAGAGACAACTCGTTCATAGCTCAGAAAGCAGCTTTGTAAAGCTTCTCCAGAGTAAGTATACATCATCTCAGCCATAAGTGGAATGTCACGATTAAGAAAGAAAATCTACGGCGATGTTTAAATTTACGGTACTAGGATTTGTGTGTTCATTTTGGTACACTTTTGTGCGTTTCTACTAATACATTTCTTTTAATCAAGGGTTAAAATGTATCCTTCTTGATCGACATTCCTTCCACGATTGATAAGGAAGAAAAATATGCTAAGGAAGGGGTTTGAAACTCTAGGATTTTTGTTTTGTTTTTTTGGTACGCTTTGTGTATATTGACTATCACAAAATGTTGTAATTAAAGGGGAACAAGCATTATTTTGGGATTACTCTCCTATCGTGACAGAGAAGGAAGAAAATAAGTTGAGTATTAGTTTTAAAATCCTCAGATTTGTGTGTTCATTTTCGTATGCTTTTTGTGTCTCTAATATGTTGTAATTAAAATACAGGCATTATTTTTTTAGCGAACATTGTTTCAAGATTAAGAAGAATGAAGACAATGTTGTCTGATAGATTTGGAATCCTAAAACGTTTGTTTTCCTTTCGGGATGCTTTATGCACTTCTAATATTAAACCTGTTGCAATTAAAGAGGAAGAGGTGTTATAATTTTATTGACTCCCTCACCACGACTGTGAAAGAAGGAAACGATGTTGGGGATTATATTTTAGCTATTGGAGTTTTCTATTTTGTGGGCATATATTATATATGCTATTATATCTGTCATAACTAAAGAACATTACTTACGTTTTGAGTGATCAGTTCTTATTACGAAAACTATAAATTTCCATTGTTAATATAACAAATAAAAATAAACATCCCTACCCCATCGATTAGCATAGTCAAACCAACACTTTGTAAATAAAACTAAATGAAGTACGACTTTGTATGATGACGAAACATTATTATTATTTTTGAGCGATAGGACAGCATGCCAACGAAAATCCAATATATATGTATATATATATATATATATACGACACCAAGTTTGATAATTGTATACTACGTACACACCTGAGAGCCAAATGTGCGATATTTTTACAAGTTTTGATAAAAGCAGGAGAAGAGACAGAAATACTTCCAGTAACATTAACATTACCAGTTTCACAGTTCTATGATTTTCAAAAGTCATTTATATATATATATATATATATATATATATATATATATATATATATATATATTGTCGTATTTTGTCAAGACCTGAAATTCTACCATATATACGTAATGTATAAACATAGGTGTTCTATTGAAATACTAAAAATTAAAGACACGGGTACACCATATGGTCTCACCCTCTCCCACTTAACCCAATCAGATGTCATACGTATATTTGATGTAATAGGTAAAGTGGTAGTGTAGGTGTGGTAGAATAATTTAGACAGCTATCGGGCATTTTTAACAATATTTGACAGCGGAATGCTTAGGGCCATAAGAATGCATAAGTTTACATCCGGGTTGGCAACTGATCCCTTTTATTTATTTATTTATTTATTTATTTGAAACGCTAGCATGACGAATATCTGCATTCCAAGAATATGTGAACTGTGGGCAAAGATCAGCATCCAAAAATCAATCCACTCCACATTGATCATGATGCAACCCACTACTCCCCCCTCCGCTTATAAACAGATGCGCAGTGCATCGCAATGCATACAGAAATGGCTTTATGGCATTCTCCACTTATCATTTTTGTAAAAAGAAAAACTAAGATCATTTGCATAGGCAAAGGTTTTCGTAAGCTGTGAGCTGTACTTGTGATTACAATTTTTTTTTCTTTAAGTCATGGGCTACCAGGAATCCCATCAATGAGTCTATCGGAAACTTTTCCAATAATTCTGAGGGCTCCAACTACAATTGGTATTATTGATGCCATCATGTGCTACATTTCTTTAGATCTTCACTTCAAGGTCCTTGTATTTTGATAGTTTTTTAAAGATACATTACTATCTGGGCTATTATCTTTGAGTGTTCTGTTTGTGTGTGTTGTAAAGTCCCATAAAATTGTGACACGTCATGTCTCTCTAAACGGGTCTGGGTGATGCTTATACTAGTTTCTTGCAGTTTCCTTCCCGTGAAAGTTGCATATTTTCCAATGCAGATATTGGCCCATTCTATCATGTCGAGTTTTATATTCAGTAGTGGCTAACACTGTGCAACCTGAAACAAGATGGTCGATTGTTTATGTTTATCTATCCCATTATTTTCGTTGTATACACATTTCCTTCCGGGTCCCAACCAGAGACCTAAAGTCAGAAATGGCTTCTTGACATTTTCTACTGTTCATCTTTTCTTT